TTTTGTGTTTTTTTTTTTTTTTTGGGGGGGGGGGGAAGGCTTGCGACAGTGTACAGGGTTTAAAATGTTTCCACCGATGTAATAAAACACGGTGATTAGGGATCCTCGTGGTTTTCCTCAGTCTCTCCGGCTAAACACCGGGATAGTGCCTAGAAATTGCTCCCTGATTCATTAATCATCCCCTCATTTGACACTTTTTAATCTGAGCACGCGCGTCAATAAAAACAAAAATATGTAATTTCACCGCGGGAGCCTTTTAAGGAATTAGCACTTTGATTAATGAGAGTGACCTCTGATTCACTTAACGACGCTTCATCAACTGAACAATTTATTTAGCTTGGAATCACAGAATTACCTCGAATGAAGATTTTAAAATACGTCTGAGATGATCAATCAATTTAACTGCGGTGAACAGAAGAATGAGTCCGCATCTGAAGTCGGTGTCTAGAGAATAAGAGGCGGGAATGCTAACCACTGTCCATGGCCACAAGATAAAAGTTGGCTTCAACCGACTGGCAAACAACGTTCTCACTTTGCATTCAGAAATTTACGTCAGGAGCGACTCTCCTCTTTGCCAAAAGTGCACAGAGCTGTAAAACAGAAAGTCACAGGAGTTTCAAAGGAAAATAGACAGAATTTTATCCAGATTTTACTTACTTCTCGCCGTCTTTGTTGGCTGCGCCGTTGCTCGGAGTACTCGTGGTTTTCAAACTCTTAAATGCCTTCAGCCACTTGTTTTTCATACTTCCGGTTGAAGAGGACGACATCTTGCGTTCGCGGCTGGAATCAGACGCGCTCTCTACTTTCGACGCGAATAATTCTTTCTGCAATGACAACAAGGAAAGAAAATTGTGACACTGGCTTTCTGAGATTCCAATACTCAATTACTGAAATGAGCTGACTTGGCATTGGCCACAATCCAATAAACTCTATCGATTGTTGGGAATTATCTAACAACTCGAAATAAATCGAACGAATTTATCGACTTTTGAATCGAATAGTTCTAGTCGAACAACCAAATTACTCATTCGCGTTTTAATGCGGAAGACAGTTTCAGCTGAACGGTTTTAAAACAATCGTGCTCACTTTTAACGCACTGCAAATCCATTAATTTTGAGTTATATTACCTCCAGACAAATGTAATAGGCGGACAGACTAAATAACTACAAAAGTATACGTCAACCACTCGAACTTAAATGCAGCCAGAACACGAGACAGCGGCTTTGGGACATACAAAATTGAGACGGTTTCTGATAAATTACCTCGACAGTTGAGTGGACTGAATTCAGTAAACAACGTGTAGTCGATTACGACATTCAATTTTTATTCGAATGCCTTCATTCGACTGCCAATATCACAATAAACTCTGAATAAATAATCGAAAGTACAAATCAATCGACTGTGTTCACGGTTAATTCTATTGCATTATGAAACAAATCACAACAGATGGCATGACGAACTCTTCTAGAGATTAAATCACGTAATATTCTGCCAATAAGCGTGAACAGAGGGACAGGCCAAGTTAATCTCGAGAAATAAAAAGTAATTCTTGTGACGACGACTGGAAGGTCGCAGTTTTTGGTGCAAATAAAACTTCCAAACTTCGTCTTTAGGGAATAAGCCACGTCGAATGCTGAAGCTTCATAAGTTTAGGCAAACATTCGACGTGGTTCATCCCTGAATGTAGAAGTTCCACAGTGAACTCCAACCGCCAACACCTAGAAGAATTTTACAAAAGGCATTCTTTACATCCGCAATAATATAAGCAACTTTTCACGTGATCTGATGAACTGTTTCCATGTGCACATGCGTTTATCGTACAAATTAATGCACAATTATCCATGGCAAATCAACTGTTAACACTGGTCACACATCTCATCGCGGACGACGTCTAAACCACTCACTCTAAGTGGTCACTGGTTCCCAGGCAAGGAAAACGTTCTGAGAGCCAGCTGCCATTTTTATAAGCACTGAAATAATCACCGCATGGACCGAAGTTATATTCAATGCTATTGAGGGGGAAGGTAATTGAAAATTTTTAAAAAAAAAACTACATTCATTTTTTAATGGACTGGGTTAAAGCGATCTGCGTCGGTACTGGAATAACCACGCATTTGTCACAGGTGATTATTCCTGAAATTAACAGTTTTGAATTTTAAATATCATTCATGAATTTTAATCACGAAAACAACGAAACTGATTACTAAAAAATAAAAATAAAGTTAATTACCAACGTACGAATAATCTGAATATAAACAGAATTCCCCGAGTCTCACTGGCCTCTGTGATCGATTATTGCAAATCGACAAATTCACTGTTGCAGACTTAATGGAAATGCAATATCGCTCTGTACAGACTAAGAAATTATTTGTCCCCCTGTATCCTTTTACGTAATCATCAAATCAAGACAGGAATAAAATTCGTAGATGCTACAAGCCGGTTTAACCCACTCCCCCCCCCCGGGCACTGTTCATTCATGACCGAGATTTATCACATCTGCCCTAAGATCTCCCAAGTTGTCCACATTTGCTTGTTCTGCTGACGAACAGAGAACGTTTAATACACAATTTCAAGATTTATGGACGCAATTACTTTGAAACCTGCAAGCGAGTAAAAGCTCGGCAGATGTCGATACTGTCTTCCTGAAAGATTTCCAGAGGCGGTTTCTTCCTATTGCCTGCGACTATGAGCCGGAAATATCGGGAATCCATACCCGTGTTGCTCAACAGCGCGTCTCAGGAACGACATTTGACAAGGCGACGGCACAACCTAACGAAAACTCTATGATTCGTTCAGAGCTAAAGTGGTATAAACAGATAACTGTATACAAGGTGTGTCTGTGGTCCACACTTTAAATTCCCTGTCAAGCGGACATTCGCCATAGATCCCGACATTTTTGGTACTTTGAAAACACGCTTCGTCAATGAAATTCGTCTTACGAATTCTCAGGAAATCGTTTCAAAAGAAAAATCTACGTGGGGCAAATCTGAGGCGAGAAAGAATCAAAATGAGATTCGGTCGAGCAAAGATTTCAAACGTGTATACTCGTTGATGTTGAACGACTGCTGCTTAATAAACAAACTGCCATCGCCACGCTGCACCTGTCTCAAGAACACGGGTGTGCGATGTCACAGCGCCCCTTTATGGCTATGTGGCAACTGTACGACCTGCTTCGACATAAAATGAGTCGTAACTTCCTTTACGTGAGTGCTTCAGTTCATTCATAGAATAAACATCACTAAATCGCGGATATTTGTAACGGCATTGCGGCGTGGTTTATCAGAGATGGGAACAGAATTATTAAATATATACAGGGTGTACACAAAGTCCCTTCGGGGTTTTGGAAAATTGTGGCGCGCAAACAAATTGAGCTAGCCACATGCGGTTTGCGGCAGATTACAGTGAAACTCTGGAAGTTTTTTTACTGACCTCAGGAGACCTCGATGTGGGCTCCCTTGGTAGCACGGAGAACGTCCAGACGATATTCGAGCTCTTGCCGTGTTCTGTGGAGCCGGCGTTATAAATGGACATAGGTTCGCTGTAGCGGAAATTCGTAGATAGGAACTTTGTAAATCACGGGACTGGTTTTATTATTCAGATGAAACTTGTCCTTTGAAATGTTGAGCCGGATTTGAATTACAGCTTTAATTTTAATTTAAATTATAATAAATATTGTGTAGAAGGACTTCAAATGGCAACTTCCAACCACAACAGGACGCGTTCTTTAAAATCCGTTAAGCCGGTAATTTCTGCGTTCAGAATCTGTTCGTCATAATTGTTGCACTGGTAATGTTGATTACTGAAAACTTCCGCAAATTCGGTAAAACTTCTATCAGGCCTCTGTGACCTTTACTCAGAACAAAAGCTATTGACTTTAATTCCAAATTACGTAATCATCTAGACGTAAGTGCCCGGTGGATTCAAGCAACAGCCTATTCCGAGTCAGAAATCCCACGTGGGTAGAAATTTAATTTTCGAGAACACCCCTCAACTGGGGGGTATGTCCTCCCCCTCCTACTGATTGAAAAAAACAAGTTTCGTGTCAGCTACTCAGAGGACGCACTGACTCTGCGTTGTTCTTACTCAGAGACGCGATTAAAACGCAATTTTCAAGTCAGTCAATAGTCTGAACGGTAATCATTCGAAAGAACATAACAGAAAGCCTCGGACCAAACTTAACTTCATCAACGCGAGGAAATGAAGATTTTTATACAGGGAGATTCGAAGGTGGCTGACTTCTTGGTTGTAGTTTACTGACGTTTCAGAGGTCATTGTTGCCTCCATCATCAGGGCGATTATCGACGATATAACCCAGATGATAGCCATCTTCCTACTAACCACAAATCCTACATTTACTGTTTTCTCTCCTAGTTACTGAAATTGTTTTGGACTAATCTTTGCACAACCAGAAATCGTGTTTTAATGGCTCCATTGAACTGCGCACCGATGCCACGGAGCACGATGTGCGTTGCTTTAAAAAGGTTTCTAAGGGCTTCGTCGCGAAACCTTTTATGAGCATTCACGTGAACGCAATGCGGAAACTGGCAGCTTGTCAGGGGTGGAGTCAGTGTTGGCGGTTTTTACAGGGTTCAGGGCGCTAATTTTACGCGCAAAGATGAAAAGGGAAAACTGAAAACAAGAATTATTTCAATATTCTTACAAATAAAATTGAGATTGTGGGGCGTGTATTTTCACTTCTTACAACAGATTTGGATTGCTTATTCTTAGTTTCCAGAAACAGAAAACAGAAAAGTAAAAAGCTCCGGGAAAAGGGTCCTCATTCGATTGACGGTGAGGGCAGATCAACTGAGCACACATTGGATGATAATATTAAAATGTACAAGAAAGAAACTTTCGGAATGTGCTGTGCGGATGAACACAGTGCCACTTCGAATGGCTGGATGTTTTCTCGATTCTTAATTATTAATTGTAAACAATGAATTGGAAAGGGTGTGGAAGGAAGAGGTTGTGGCCTATCTCAAAATACTTTGCCGTACAATCACGTGGAGGAACTGAATAATGCGACAGCCACCGGATCTTAATCGAATCAAGAATTTACACGTATCGAATAATAATACTACGCATAAAGGCACGACGCTTACAATATTAAAGGTGGCAAATGATACGCCGTTCATGCAAGGAGTAGCAGCACAGAAATAATGAGCACTTCTGATGACTCGTGATTCAAAATCGTAAAGCAATTTAAATATTAAAACGCATAAACACTGTACAATGCCTTGCGCATTGTACGAAAGATTTAATGTGCTGCAACTCTATTAGCCCCACGAAGCCGAAGCTCGTCTAAATATTACGTATTTAAGAATTCAGTCCGTACCGCGAAGTAAACACTACACTTCACCATTACAAAGATCAATTGGTTAACGCTGTTTAAGGGAGTAATCGCCGTTTATAGTGAGACACGCACTGCGTACGTAATATTAAATCATTCAGTCCGTACCGCGAAGAAAACACCACACTTCACCATTACAGGGATCAGCTGGTTAACGCTGTTTAAGGAGATAATCGCTGTTTACAGTGAGACTGAGGGCGGACTTTGAAATACGAAATGCAGGGTTGCTGATTATTAATGCAGGTGGTGCATATAATTACCACTGAGCTCCAAAGGGCTGGGTGTTACGGTACGTCACAGACAACATGCAGGTACTCACCAACTGCGAGCGAAGTGTAAGCCAGCCCATTTTTCACCAGGGGTAAAGAGGAGCGATGATGCTCCGAGAGAACTCGTCGTTACAACAGAAATCTTTCGTTTCCAGCGCTTTTAGATTATTTCCTGGACCCGCGATGTTCGTTGTCGTAGTTCGACCCGCAAAAAGAAGAAGACGAGATCGCGTTTGAATCCGGCAAGAGTAACATCTTCATGTCCGGGCTCAAGGACTGCCGGTACAATCGACATTCGCTACTGGTATCGATGAGCGGGCGTGCGGGACGCACTGCGCATGCCCCAACTCAATGTACTATCAAGGCCGAAAACATTAAACATTTAAGCACCAGCGAGGATTCAAGGTACGCAATGTTACGATTACCTCCGAATCGATTTTTTTTGTTGAAAAATGTCTGAAGAATAATCACGCGAATTTAATTATTTTAAAATGTGTGTGAGTTACACCCTGGTTTTTGTCGCAACTCAACTTCATCTCCATCGACTTCCCGGAATTTGACCGCGAGTTGCGTCCTGATAACCCGTATGTGCGCCTTTTTCAAAGCATCCACGGGGGGACAAGCAAAGGCTTATTAAGAGGGGATTAGATCGTGATAAGGGAAGGGAAGTGTCTTAGTTTTTTGGGATAAAAGTTTCATGTACTGAGGGCGGACTTTGTATTCTAATCTAAAGAATTGTGATTAATTAATGGAATTTTTTGGTATTGTCTGTAATTGTGTAGTGTAAGAACCACTGTCACCGGGCGCAAACCCAATTGCAGTAAATAATAATAATTCCGACGCAACTTCGCTGAGTACCGATGACTTAACCCTCTCTTGTCACCACACCCTCTCGTCACTAACGCCGTCTTAACCGCCGATCAGACGGAACAAATTCAATGTCTGTACCTTGGAGAAGCCAAAAGCTTATTTCGGCACGGAATTAGAAAAGGTCTACAAGATATTCAGGCATCGGCCCACCTTCCGTGGCCAGACTTTACGCTGTATCTGTGAGCCTCGCCATTTAAACTCTCGGCACTGCGCATGCGTGAAAGACGCAAATGAGCGGACTTCATTTGTCGCTGCTGTCAAACACCACGTGACCCAAAACCGACTTACCTGCGCCCTGACGGCCCCCAGATGAATCTGCGCTACTCGCATGTCGAACCTTTTCATGCTGATGTCTTCCTGCAGTTCGTTGGCCTTGTTGTACAAACTCGATTCCAGGCTCCTGGAAAACAAGAAGAAGAAGAAGAATTAACAGAAACTATTTAAAAAAATTGGTTTCGAACACTTAGAAGAAAAACACCTGAAGATGATCAATTTAAGTCGAAACATGAAGTGGATTCGTAACTGTTTCAGTGGCGAGACCTCACACATTTTTTAAGCTATTCCACTCACATGATTACGAATTCTTTCCCAGCCCCCTCTTGTTGGTGTTTGATTCCCAAAAACACCCTCAAAGTAAGAGGTCATATTCTACACCCATACGTAACAGAGGCAAAACTCAACAACGGTCAATGTAAGAAAATGTGCCAGCTTTAACGACGCACACGACATAAAACCCGAGAGAAATCACATCAAGACTCATCAGAACTAACAAAATTATAAACGTTCATCATTATTTCTGAATATCGGCGATGAGGTCCTTAGCGCACTGACCCAAAAGTGGACCTGAAGATGGCCACACTGTTTCGAAACATGTCGCTTAAGTGACGGGCAGAATAAACCAAGAACTTCGTCTTACGTCTGACGTCACAGAATCCGCGAGACGAGAGACGAAGTTCCCTGTCAAGAATTCCTCTCACGTTTCCACGCGCGTACCTTTGCTGAATTCTCAAGAGAGTGTCCAGGGCGTCGTGGAGTTGTTTGATCTGGCTCTCGAGCTCAGACGCTTCCTTCTTCAAGGCGTCGTAGCGGCTGCGAACTGTAATCGACGCCAGGCGATCCACGACGACCTCGTTCTTCAACGGAGGCGGCGGGTTCACGGGGGAGTCCTGGAAAGAAAAACCCGTCGCGCTGAATGCGGCTGTTCCCCAAGTCCCTGTCAAAACAGCGTCCCTCGGACCGGGACCAAACCGTGAGCTCCGCCTACGAATTTGCGTGCACAACAAAAACCGCGTAAAGGGAAATACATTGTCGACGTAAGAGCTGAGACCGCCTTTGCAATTAATGTTTTTAGTATGGACAGTATTTATTAAGTGAGGTTAATGGTTGCTGTGCCCGAAAGAAAGAGACCAGGTTTTGGTGCGTTATTAGCACGTTATAGACGAGTGGCAATTATATGAACCACCTTTTTGGATTTTGTGTGTTTATTTCGTATAATTCGACTGTTTCCTTAAACAGCGTTAACCAGTTGATCTTTGTAATGGTGAAGAGTAGTGTTTACTTCGCGGTACGGGCTGGATTCTTATATACGTAATATCAGGGCCGGGCCTGTACTTACGTTGGCCAGAGGTTCGCCTGCAGCCCCGCCGGTGCCATCAGGGGCCTCGGGGGAAGGCGCCACGAAGTTGTGTCTCAGGGACGGGTGATGGGGGTTGTGCTGAGGAGTCGGCAGCGACCGGACGAAGTGGGCGAGGTCCGTGGGGCCTGCGACCGCGCGGCACTGCGACGACAGACCATCGTAACGCCTGGACTGCTCCAGCGCCTGCGAGGACACACGAACCCAGGGTGTAAACTGGACTCATCTGGCTCAGGACGAGTTCCATGAAAGGCCAGAATGATCCACTCCACATCCTCAAGATCCATTTTAATATTATCTTCCCATCTACCGCTTTGCATCAGGTTCTATCGATCATTCGTGCTGTACGCCCGGCCCATTCAATTGTTTTCAACTTTATGATGTTAATTACACCCACAAGACTCAGCTTTCAGAAGGCAGCGATGTCTTGGACACCCCATCAGGTGCGGAGGCGACGACGGTCTCCTGTTCCCTCTGCGTCAACGAGAGCTCTCTGACCCACTCCGTTGCAGTTGTAGAGAACAGGAGACTCGCGTTATGCAGTGATTGCGAAATCTGAGACCAGACGCGGGAGAAACACAACGACCTGACCCACTGGAGGACTCCGCCCCACACAATGTTTTTATGACGGCAAAGACCGTCTTCCTTTCAAGAACTGCGTTGTTCTGATTCCTGGCAGATTTCACGATGTTCTTCAAAGCATCCAATGTTACGAAGATTTTGTACTTGACGCAAAATATCTCCGAGCTTCGTCCATCGTTGTTGGCCAGCCAGCCGAAGTACGGAGAGGGAGGTCACCACCTTCGCCTCTTGCTGTGACGTAGTTCAGGCTCGCAGATATTTTGCGTTCGACATAATAACACTTCAAAACTCCATAAACCAGCAAACTCAGCCAATGCTGCCGTTTGTGAGCCCGATTTTTAACCTCACATTTTTCGAATTTGAAACAGGGGTGCTAAAAACCACTATCGGGGTATTTTTGCGAGGGGACACATTTTGTACCTAACAAAAAAAAATACTTGCTTCAGTAGGAAATAGCGACATTTAGAATTATTAACACTTTAAATGTCATTATTAAATTAATTAATTCCCATTTAATTTAATTCAATTCGATTTAATGCAGTGAGTAGGGTTACGAGTGGACAGATTGAATATCGATCACTCTGAACAGAATAAAATATAAAACATCGTCAAATTCCTTATATGACAAAGGCGTTAGTTGAAGTCGGAAAGTGAACCAGCTTTCACGTTTTCATTTACATATTGAAATAAATATGAAGTGAAATTACATTTTAAGCGAAGACGACTCTTGTGGGATGTTACGGGGTGTAGTCTAGAAAAAGTTTGTCGAACTCTGAAATGTCGGTGAACTTTTATCAAACTACAAGGCGCAACTACCCAGAAGACAGCATACTTAACAGACAAGACGTCTCCTGCCATCTATGGCACGAAGCTCGACACTACTATTAAGAACGAAATTTCAGTACTCACCGCCAGATGACGGGGTGAACTGTACTGTACTACGCTGCCATCTGTACTTACTGGCGGAAGCTAAGCACAAATAGCGGCTAGAAATAAATATTTAATTAGGAGGTAGAACTGGATCCACCGATTATGGCCGCTGCGCAGGCAGGAAAATTCAGAATGGTTTTTCAACACATAAGACCATAAGTAAATGAAAAGTAAATTTATACCAGGAGAAAAACCCATAAGTGCTCGACGATGTTTAACTATTTGTCCGAAAGATGGCGGCCATGTTTTTTACATCACTTTTTTCGCTCAAAGACAATTTAGAAAAAGTAATTTGCTGTAAATACTCGTTGTCATTATCGGAACACAAAAATTGTCGGCACACAGAATTATTTAACATTCACTAAAAGTAACCACGAAACAGACTGAGATACAGAATCCAGTCTAAAACAAATGCTACCGGGCAAGCGTGTCCCATCCCTTCCAGCGAACCTCTGGTAAGTGACTCGCTCCGAGGTTCCAATTCACAAAGTTCAGCGGCCAAAAACGCTGGAACGGAGTATATCTACACTGGCGTAAACCTTATTTTTCTTTTACTCCAGTGCCAGACGACGTGTAGCCTAACGAAAAAAGACACTTAAAAAGGCGGGGGGAGAGAGGAACAGAAATAAACCGGCGAGATCACATCTTTCTGACCTCCGCACGTTTCTGGCCCATCTTTTAACTGCGAGGTTTACTGGGACACAATCCGAATGTTTGCTGATCCTATCTCAAATGCAACTCCTCAGTACAAATAACACATCCGGAAAACATCGCCAGTGTTCAGGACCTCACAAAGAAAAGCTATCGTGTTAACAGCGAAACACAGTTTAACTTACACTTCAAACTTTTATCTTAATCCCTGCATCATCTTCCATAAGAACGGCGGGAGGCTGGACCAGATGTGGGATTGCGTTCACGACGACTTAAAGTGATCGGACATGTTCTCGAAACTTCGATGCTGTTAATCGCCCATTTTCCTTACAGAAGAGATCTGGATTTCAGAGAACACTTCTGCCACACGCGATTCTGAAGTGACTTACCCTCGCTGAGATGATCTCAGCTCCTTGCAGCACAGATTCTGACAGAGTGGAGCACAGATCTGAGTAAACATCTTCGAGTTCCTGAAACAAAGAGAAAAACGATGCAGGCAAGTTCTAGAGGTCGTGGCCGCGTATCATCAGGACGCGATGGTGGAACCAAGGACCTCAACTTCTGCCAGACTACGCGGCGCTACAACCCAGAGGACGGCCATCTTCAGGAACAAACATGTTTTCAAATTTGCAATTCCTTACAAATCGTTTACTTTTAAGAAACTACACTAGTACTATAGAAAGCTTTTACGCCCCTGCTCCGAAGAACAATAAACATGCTCCTAACAAAGTAGAACATCTTAACGAGGTCAGTATTGGGTGTACGCCTTCGGGAACTTACCAACTGCGTGAAACGAGCAGTTCCCTTCAAACTGATAAAACATTTTCCACTTTTTGTAGAATCGCAGCTTCACGTAAATTGGTTGTCAGGTTGGACCAACACCTGCATCGGATCCTTCGATAACATTTTATTTGCCCCTATAAAAAATTTCCGAAATACACGCAGCTCTCCCAGAGATCAGACACGCAAAGAGATGGGATGACGGACCCACTCTGTATGCCTTCAATTCACGGATGAAATGACGGTCCACTAATTTACATGTTAATTAACGTCTGAGTCTTCTGCCCTGAATCCTCAATACCAACTCGAGTAAAGAACTGAACAAAATTCAGCAGTTAAAGTTGGAGAATTCTTCCTTCCTCTCGTCTTCTGAGTACAGCGAGACTCGGGAGCAGATCAACTCCAGTCGTCGGTCGCTTATTCAAACGAGCCTTTTAACCTCAACTCAACTTTGTTTGTTAGCCACAAAAGCCCAGGTAACATGCGGATTCTTAACCACGGCACCAGAGAGAGGTTAGGTTTACCTTCGCGTTCTGGCCAGAAAAGTTCCCCAGAGCCGGTCCTGCCCTACCGGGAATCGAGCACCGGTGGTCGAACCCCAGCGATGGTATGATGAGTCTCACTCCGGGTCCAGATACTCTTTCACTATAAAGTATTTATTTACAGATATCGCGCGTGGATCTGAAGACACGTGCAGTCTGACAAATATTTGTCTCACATCTGAAAATTGTCCCATGAACCTCACACAAAGCAGCCACAAATAGTAAAACCAAAAATAATTGAGGCTTCCGCGGGGGCGAGTCTTAAGATGGCCCCGTGTCTTCTGGTAGTTGAGTCGTCCTAATTAAGGTAGCAGCAAGGACCTCTGAAACGTCGGTAAACTTCTTCCAGACTACGCGGCGCTACAACCCAGAAGACAGCCATCTTAATGCTCTTATTGACTATTTAATTTAGCAAACTCTAATATTTGAATCCTAACAGCAAACATTGCAATCCGCCAGCCACGTTACCCTTTGGAGCTTCAACGATTACGTCTGTGTACATTGCAGCTGCCAGCACATGCGACTCAGACATCTAAGAACCCGTTTGGTCGCCATATTGGATTTAAGTAAAACGCGAAGTTGCAGTTACCACAGAAAGCAAAGCAATCCGAAACCGTACACTGAACGCAGACAAAACTCGACTCAGTTCACGAAGTTCCTAATTTAACTCTTCTCTAGTGGAAAGTTGTGAACGATCTTGTAGCCCCTCAGAACACTAAAATACACTAATTTGAATAGATTATTTACTGAATGAAATCTGATGTTCTCAAGGCGACGTGTATGAAGATGGCAGAGGACCTCAAAGCCTCTACCACGACCACCACCCTTAAGATGAAGGCAGCAAGGCCTTCTGCAACGCCCGGAAGTATCAGGCAATCACCCATATTCAGGGTATTGATTGACATCGGAGTTTTGGGTCCTGAATCCCAATTTCTTTGAATATATTTGGATCACACGCGCTTTCGAAAACACTTGCAATAACATCGACTACATTAATTTACTGTGGATACAAAGGTTTCTGACTAAAAGAGAACACAATGAATTAGGAAGAATGAATTTTCTTTATATTCCGTTCAGTTAATATCAGACCCATTTAGTGCGTGTAACAAAAATTTGGGATATTCATTGGAGAATGTATTTAATGTAATTCACACTCGTTTTATAAAACAGGTGTCGCGGCATATATTGAAGTCAAATCCCCCGAAATCTTTAAGAGTGAATACCTAATTCCAGATTCCATCGAAACAAAAACCTTGGCTTCCTATCCATTGTGCCATCGGTTCTGAACTTAGTAAGGTCTTAATTAGACCTCCTGCCAACACAATTTTATTAAAGTTCTTAAAAATAAAACAATACTCACTAAGATCTATAATTATAGTTCAAAAAATTTTTCAATATGATGAAAAACTTACGACATCCAACACGAGATACTCCATGACCGAACAGTGGAATTATCTTCGTGGCCGTAAATCTGTATTCGAAGCGAGAGAAGTGACTGAGCTGAGTCCTCTCACGTTCTGCTACAGAACACAAAAGATCCCGGGGATAAACTTCCCTCTCTCACGAGATACACATTTTCGTATCTGATCCATTTCACGGAGAATTGGATTCTGTTCCAGGGACGCTAGAAACGTGGTTGCGACTACTGAATGACCTTTGAGTACTAGAGTTAGCAACTTGTAATTACCGGTGCTCTAATTAATTGACTCTTTATCATGTTACAAATCAGAAGGGACCGCAAAGCCTTATAATATCCAGTCATGTTAGGAACAAAATAAAAGGTGTTTATTTTAGAAAACTGGGAACATTCTCGAGCACACGAGCGAATGAAAGCAAATCCAGCAAAGACAAAAGACGGGCTAACGGCAACCTTAAAATACTAGAATCGGTAATCGGAATCTGTGAAGTTACGAGAGGGTGGAACGAGAAGTCTGATCAACGGAGCTGGCTTAGCTCCGAAAGTCACGCGTGTGTAAATGCAGAATGTTACTGTACTCCAGAGAGTACAGCTTTAAAATGTCGTTTGTGAGGACAGCTCATCCATTCTTCGCCGAGATTCTTCTTGAAATAAACATCACGCAGGTACCGAAGGAACAGAGAAGTTATTTACATTTCATCCCAGCGGGGATACGTCCAGTGGCCACGGCGTTGGTGCTGAATAATCTTTACATAAAGACGCTATTTTCCAGTCGGCGAACCGGGAATCGAAATAAATCGCCTCGTGACCACTTCAAAAAACGAAGCCAAGCGACAAGGAAAATGTTCGAAGGGATTTTGCGTTTCAGAAAATACGCTTAATGAGCGCGGCTATCCTGACGCAGATTCTAGTCGTTTTCCCCAGTCACTCCACGTAAAAGCGGGAATAGTATCTTGAAGTACACAAAGACTGCTTCCAGCAAACGACTTAATCTCTCACCCTGTATAATGCGTAACATCGTTTAATAAATAAACAAATCGATTTAGCAAGATGGCCGTGCACTCTGGTAGAAATTTACTCATCACCCTGATGATGGAGGCAGCAAGGACATCTGAAACGTCGGTAAACTTCAGACACATCGCCGTGAGAACATCAAATCCTACAAAATACATTTTATATAGTTTTTTTTTTTGCGTGTTTCCGTGGATTAGAGTTTATTTTAAAACCGAACGCACATAAACTGATCATCACGAAAAACGAACTGGCATCTTTTGTGCTTGGTCGTGTGGGCTTTCTGAAAGGATAACGCAGAAAGCCCACACGACCAAGCACAAAGTAGCGTCTGGAGAAGGATCTGTGTTCAAGTACAAAGCCCTCAGGACGGAACAAGGACCTTTGACCTTTCAGAATCGCGGCTATAACAGGGATTATCTCTCTCTCAGGAGATGTTCCTGCTTCTACAAATAACGCCTAGTTCATTACATCTCCTCGTGTTCCCATTCAAATGTACACCATTTAACGACGGTGTTGTTTAGTTGAGTTCAGGATTGAGAAGGCTCTAATAATGAAATGAACGAGCAGGTGAGCAGGAAATTGAATGAGCCTGTTTCGAAATTCGAACAGCATGCCTTCTACAGGGTCTGCAGAACGTGATATGATGTTTCAGTCACTTCGATAAATCTGGCGAGGCGTCATTTAACATATTAACTACGTGCACATGATGATAACACGTGCTTCAGTGATTACGAACATCGTGCAAAGAGTGACAATGAAGTCGACAGAACGTGGTCTCTTCCTGTCAGTTGACTAAAGCAGATTCGTCACGGTCTGTAGTTCGAAACAGCTGTTCGATGCCTCAATGTTTCTTTCTGAACTGAGTTGTGTCCTCCCTCAATTACTCAGATGCCCACGCGACAGCTGTTCAGTTCACATTTGCACTCGCTCATGCAGACAAGCATCCCTTGAAAAATGACTATTCCTCCCTCCCGCCCAGGGTCTACTCAAAGACATCCTCCCATAATGGCAACTACAGCTTCATGTTTCATACAATTTTCACTGTAAACAGCGATTATTTCCTTAAACAGCGTTAACCATTTGATATTTGTAATGGTGAAGTGTAGTGTTTTCTTCGCGGTACGGTCTGGATTCTTAAAATATTATTTTCGATCTTTGTAATGGTGAAGTGTGGTGTTTTCTACGCGGTACGGACTGAATACTTAAATAATATTCAGACGAGCTTCGGCTGAAAAGTGTTAATTAACACCTAGTAATTATAACGCGGATTTAAGTCACAGACGGTTCGCGCGCCCAATCACAGCTTCCTAAACCAGACAAATAGCAAACAGATTCTACTATAAGCTAAGGAGGCAAGATCAATCAGCAAATCATCTCCCTTTATATGAAAAGTAATGGCAATGTCGCATAAGAAAAGAATTGTCAGTGGAACCACGGTTCCGGAGAATTAGACGTAAATACGTCTATACGGAAAGGAAGTTTATATATTGGCTTTATTCTAAACATTTCCTTTATACATGCTTTACAGTTGAGATAAGTTTGATTAAGACATTGCTTATTTAACTTGAATTACTTACGCTTAAGATGATTCTGTGGTAGATGAATGTAATGTAATGTAAAGTAATGTAATGAAATGTTTTATAGGTAACAACAATTCCGAGGAAACACGACGTTTCCTAGGTAACCAGGTTACACTTTTTCGGTCCCCTTTTTTGCCGAATGACCCTTCCTTATCGACGTTTTTACGTCAAAAGAGCAGTACCACATTTCAGACCTTCGTCTTGACGCTTGTTACGAAACGCCGTGAAGTCGTACATTCAACAGAAGACTCGCACCCAACGAACCATGCACACGGAAACTCTAAAACTGAAATATATTCTGCTAATTACAGCGAAAAGCAAAGAGTTTCAAGGGGAACTCATAAAACATACATTCATAATGCACACACGTACAGTCCTTCAAATCCTGTGTTGTTAAAGTTACGAGTTACGTAAGGTAATTAAACATTAAACTGGAGTTCTGAAAGGTGCACATGAAATTACGAAATGAAGGGCACTCGGATGTTTTACGAGGATGACGGCCCATTGGCTTATGCTTATAAAAATGTCGAATAAGGTAAAAATGTTGAAGAAGGAAAAGTGTAACATGAGAAGAAATGGGACACCTTGTATCTGTAAATGTAACATTACCTTCCATACGGATTTTTCTCATTGCAACAATATATTAATATAATGAATACCTAATTTGGTTAACACAGAGCTTTGAACCTCAAAAATAATTAAATTATTTTTCTAGGAAAATCAAATTTCCGCAAGCAACAAACAGAATATTTCAAAAGTAATGAATATCACATAATTAAAGAAGGAAATGTCACACCCTTTTTTGTAGAAAGAATACGAAATCACTGCATCAATCAGAAGGGCTCATACATCGATCACTGTCAGCAAAATTCAATAACCGATTTACCAATGTAAAATGACAGAGGGCACAGGAGCCCTTTTAAAAAGAACCCGCTCCAGTTTTCAAGGTCACAGCTATTTCGAATCCTTTTGCCAGTGAATGGCTAAAACAAAGCCAAGAACTCGGATCTAATCGTTTCTGCACGAACTACCAGGAATGCACTTGTTAATCTCCGACTGTGGGCTGAACGCGATTCAAAAAATACCCAATTCAGGGCAGACGGACTCTTGGGAGGTTCATATGCCTCACACGTTCCAGTCTCACACACGACGGATACCAGAGTCGAATATCGGCTGTCCTCAATGATGTCACTCTTGATTTTCCTCAGTTTCTTTAAGTGAATCACGAGACAGCGCCTTAAAACTCCACATTTTCTTCGAAAACTGCACAACAAACGCAGTCGAATCAACGGCGTTAGACCGTCTAAGAATGATTCAATCGAACAGAAGCTAAAGCCAACTCGAAGACGACGCACGTGTCAGGTCTAGTGGAAGTTTCACAAATTTCTTTCCCAACCAAAGTCTTCGCGTTCTAAAGTAGGCAGCGTGACTGAATATGGAACTTCTAGCCCAATATTCCGGAGCAGAACGGCCCTGATCACTCGCTTTACCACGAACTGTCTCAAAGAAGTCAGTACTTCGACAGACGCGGCGCGGATTTCTGTCTTCACCTGTCTCACGAGTCACAGGGCCTGCTGACTCCTTCCGAGGCGTCATAGACCCCCCCCCCCCCACCCCCCCCCCCCCTCTGTGACTAGACTGGATCTATCAAAAGTCTGCCTAGAGCAGACCACAGCCTTTTAAAGGCCCACAACGCGAGACACACAAATGCCAAATAATTAAAAACGAGGCAAGGCGAGGAATGTAATCCGCCCCCTTTAAAATACCGAAATTTCGACTAACGAAAAGAAGAAAGGGCGGGAACTTTAACTCCCGTGGGAAACAGAAAATGAAGTAAAAATGTTTACAAACTGATGACGGTGACGGAATCGTTGTTTACGAGGTTTTATTACCCGTTCGGTGCACAACATTACCGGTAATTGAGTTTCATTGCCTGTTCCTTCCACTGGCAATGTTTGCTTTTTAATAAGTCGGCTGGTAGCAAATTACATTCACAAACACAAATCATAAACACAATGCACGCACGCACGGACAGACAGTGCACATTGCAAATTAGCAGTCATATCTATTAGTTGTAAACATTTAAAAGCACCACTGAAGATGACTAATTAAAGTCGAAACATGTAGTGGAGTCTTAATGAACATCGAAACTATAACCAGAAATCATCGTGTAGACGGACTGTCAAATTAACGCTAAGTTTTAGGATGTTCACAACGCAAACAGAGAAGAAAACTTTAAATGCAACGAATGACAAAGGAAAACACTCGTTACTGTTTTGTCTGTGCGTACAATTAACGCACAAATTTTACGCTCTTCGGCTTTTAAACACGTATTGGTGTTTTCTTGTACGAAATCCAAAGAAACGAACTCACGATTTTACAACAACTAAATCATATCCTGCGATAAGACTCGTTGATGTTCGGTAAGAAGGGCTTAAGTCAAAAGTAATTTCCACTGACTCCTAAGTCCTTTTATCTAGCATGAACCATCACCAAATTAATAACTACGCATTTGTCTAAATTTGAAACCTCAGAGTCGCCAAGGTTTCTTAAAAATTCCTCAGTCGTTATCAAAGCTAAATATTCAGAACCGTTTGCAACCTGAGGAGACGCCATATTTGAAATCAAGACGTGGTCTAGAGGAATGAAAACGATGGCAAATTGGAGAGATGCCTCGGTGTCTCGTCGCGAGTCGTGTCAAATATTCTCTGCTTTGTATGCGTGAATTATTTCTCGCTGTGCAGATGATCCACTAATTTGAAATGTAATTAGATTGCCCTGTAAATGCATCGCATAATAAAATACAGTGTACCATAGAAAGTGAGGTTATGTGGGGCAGTGGGAGACACGCAGCCCAGTTAGCAATTCTTGCTATGAATAGCAATGAGCTCGCTCGCTCGCTGCCTGCGTTCCACTCACCTGCAGAAATCCCAACTTCTTCGCGATCTAGAGGTGTCCACTTAGTCAAGAAATTATCCGTATTTTAAGGTAACCGGAGGTTAATTCCGTAGTTTACAAGAGCCCGTCAGTGACCTATACTCTGAATGAATAATCCAAGACTCACACTTTATTAACTGAAGATCCATTTTAATATTATCCGCAATATGAATATGCTGACACACCTGGCAACAAATTTCATCGGCCTGGACGCCAACTTCTGCAGCTGATAGCGCGCGTAGGTGCCAAGATATTCCGTCAGCGAACGTTCAGTCCTCTGGGCTACTACCACCGAACGCGGAATAAGAACGGGCCTGTCTCGAGGAGCATTTGACAGAAAAGCTTTCAGTGTTGTATTTACGCTCGATGGGTCCCACTGACGGACAGAGCAAACATGAACCCGTCTCCAGTGTTCGAGACAGTGGAATAACGCTTTCCAAATATCTACTCGACTGCCTTCCGTCCTGTTTTGGCCACTAACTGAAACTTGCAATTTGCTTAACCTCACTCTAGGATATTTTGTCATACGCGTGAGTCTGTAATGACAACACAATCACGATTAAGATCATTTGGCATCGCCCTTAATAAACGAGACCGCAAAGTTTTTCTTTTTTTGAGTACGCTACATTTCGAAACGCGAGATTATTGCAACGCGATCCAAAGTCATTGTTCCAACAATGTTATGTTATGTGCCGAAGAACGAGGCAAAGTTCAGGAAATGTTCCTCGCTCCACCTAAAAACTGAGGTCACGCCGAAATGCAGCGATAACAAAATGTTAGGTTAGGTTAGGTTGGGTTGGGTTAGGTTAGGTTCACCGCGTGTACTCTGGTAATAACGCAGAAAGAGCTTAGAGTGAGCTTCACTGCTTGCATGAGAGTACGCAGTGGAAAAGCGAAGGCATCATCAGGGTGGTTTATATTACATTTCCCGCTCTTTGCACTGCCCCGCAAATGTAAGAGTTATTTAGAATAGAATGTGAGAGAGTCTGAGGAAAAACTAGGAGTACCAGTTCCTGTATCACTGATTTCTTCCCCTCGTTTTATAGGCGTGTCTAACGACGCACAACAAAGCGTCGACTAATGAAACGATCAGTAAGTAATAAATTGCGAGTTTGTGCCCGAGACCAGCAGCAAACTCTCGAGACGAGTTCACTAATCCGAAACTGCTTAGCATCCCGGAGCCACGTGGCAACAAATCCTTCCCATGAATTCAAAAATAACTTCAAATAGACGACAAAAATTCGACCGAATGCCATAAATACCGCGTAGAGTAGCATTCTTGCATTTTCGATCGTTCGCAGTACATATAGCACTGGGCGCCCTGACGATGGAAGCGGCAAGGACCTTCGAAACGTCGGTAAACTTCTACCAGACTACACGGCTCAACAACCCAGAAGACAGTCATCTTCAGACTCACCGAATCATCAAATATAAATGGGAAAACCACGTAAGAAGCGTTATTTTCGACGGGCGATGTAGGA